ATAAAGACTGGATCTGTCTTTTGTGTGTCGCTGCGCACTGGTCCCATGCAGTGCAGACATACAGGATTATTGGTAATAGTACGGTCTTCATCATCAGCAGCTCCACTTTCAATCCCATGTTGCTTCTTCGACCTATTATTGGTGATAGGTTTTGTCGGGCAGATCTCGCTATTCCTTTATTTCTCTGCCGTACGTGAGATCTAAACATTAATCTTTTGTCTAGGGTGACTCACAGGTCTCCATCTTCGTTGGACCACGGAATCTCTCGTCCGTTGAAGGTGACGTTTCCTTCCGGGTGTACCCGCTTCAGTATAAACCCTGACTCTTGTCAGGGTTTATCTCAGGGATCTTCCACACGTTAGCCCATTACTCTAATATATCTGCCTGTTGCTGCAAGTATCTTGTGACGTGCGCTTGGTTTGTTGATCTTGCCAACAGATCTGTGTCATCCGCGTAGAGCGCCAACTTGTTAAAGTTGTTCTCCGGCTTGGGCACGTCTGCTGTGTATACCGAGAAGAGGTGTGGCGAAAGGACGGCATCTTGTGGGACCCCTGCTTCTTGTCCTACTCTACAACGGCATCACCTGTCAGCTAAAAAAGACTCGATTAATCTTACTATTTGTTTCGTGTAGCCAAAGTTGCTCATTTTGTCCAAAAGTCCGTCATGCCAAATTCTGTCGAACGCCTTGGAGACCTCTAAGAAAATCGCTCGGGTGTTGCGTTCTTTGCCTTCCGTCGCAAAGTCTACTACCCTTAGGACTTGTGATTCTGTTGTGTGTTCTGATCTGAAACAGAACTGTTCATCTGGTAGGATTCCTAGTTCGCTGGTTTGGTCCTCTAATCTTTTCAGGATGACACTTTCTGCCACTTTGTTTAAGGAAGAGGTTAAGCTGATTGGCCTGTAGTTATCTGGGAATAGGTGGTTCTTCTTTGGCTTCGGGATGTGGATAACCGTTGCCTCCTAGAACGGGTACGGGAAGAGCTGCAGTCTGAGTATAGCATTTATGATGTTTGTTATACCTGCAATACCCTTACGTGGTAGGACTTTTAATGCCCGGTTTGTTAACTGGTCCGGGCCTGGAGCTATCCGAGTAGCTAGACGTCTTACGATATCTTACACTTCCTCGGGGGATGTTGATGCCAGGGGTTGCGCATTGTCCCTTCTTTGTCTTCTGAGTCCACGTACCGTTGTTTCCACCTGTGTCTCTATTTCTTCTACTTCGTCCGTGAACGGGACGTCGTTTTCTCTACACTGTCTTTCGAAATTGTCCGCAAATGATTCCACTTCCTCTTGGTCCGTGTATACGATTCCTTGCTCGCCGTGTATTGGCGGACATGGCTTTCGAAGTCCGATTCCAATCTGCATTCTCCATGCAGATGGGTCTTCGAAGTTTGGTTCTTTCAGACGGGTTGTCCATTGTTGATCTTGGATTGCTTTTAGTTCTTCTCGTAGAATTCTGCCGGCTCTTTGCATACATCTTTTGTCGTGTCCATTGATATCATCTTTTCAGGCGTTTTGTAATTCTAATGAGCTCATCATTTCTGGTGGAAGATGTTCTTGTAAGCTGAAGCACTGGGTTGGGACTTCCCGTGCGCTTCTTTCCATTGTTTGGGTAATCGCCTGTTGCAGCTGGTGTGTGGCGTCTTTGTTTCGATGCGTGGTATGTCTCCTATCGCATCGTGATTGGTGCGCTGGAATCTTTTCCAGTCGATGATTATCTTTGTTGGATTATCTGGTTCCACTTCACCTCTTCCTATTGTAAAAAGGGTGGGGTTGTGGTCTGACGATCCTTCGTCTAGTACTTCCATCTCTATAGTAGTGATGTTCTGCACTAGGGCGACGTCGAGAATGTCTGGAACTTGGTCTTCTCGTGGGTAATATGTTGAGGATTCTGGTGCTACTACTACTACCTCGAGTAGTAGTAGCATTGTCCTGTGAAGTTGGAATTTACGTCTAACTTGATTAAGATAAAATATTTTAAAACACCAAAGAATTGAAAGGGACAGGTATTTCTATTGTCCACGATCTCACCACGACTCAAAAAAAACTGAAGGTTCTAAAGAGGCATTCACGACTCAGAAAGCAGAACAAGGAACCCTGTTACATTATAAGAAACAGACTGATTGCGAGAAATTCAGAATATAGTGTCGACGAACTATTGGTGCTCGAGACTAAGCAAGAAAATATTCCATCCAAATCAAATAGCTTTCTATCGAGACTGATACGATCATCTAGAAAAACGGAGAAGGAAAAGCCTTTTACTAAATCAATAATCAAACCTAAAGAAGGAACATCCATTTCTAGAGAAGTGATATTCATATGTTGTTTTATTTAAAATAGTGAACCCTGTAATTCAAATAACTACTGTTTTTTAAGTTCATATTTTCATATCCGTAATAAACTCCAACTGAATAGTTAGTGACTGGAAATGGTAGTAATTATGTTCATTTTTTTTAATTTAACAACTAGATATTCAACATGGGTGATTATATTCCGTCAGGAATTTCAGTGAAGCCACAATTCCATGAGTTGGAAAAAATAGATGAACTAATCGAAACAAAAATCTTGTGAAATACCATTCTCAGTTTGTCATATACCTACATGTAAAGAGTGTGCATAAAAATTGTCACGTATTAAAAACTTCGCTGCATCATTCTGATGGAAATCTGGCAAATATTAAATCAAAACTTGTATTATTTACATGGCTATGCGATAATACGTTTAGAGAACAGAATAAATCAAAATGATGGAGTTCTGATATGTGTAGGTAAAGGAGAATCAGATATACGATTTCCGCATATTGATTTGACAGGTGGTATCAACATAACTAATAATTTCGATAATTCGAAGGTCAACGTACAGATTTCGTAGAAGCATTAAGATAATCATAATCATAACTTTACTGTTCTAATTGGAGACATGAATATTGACATTTTCAATATTACATAGTAATAAAACTGAAAGTTACATGAACATGCTCCTAAGAAAAGGATTTGAATAAGGAAAGTATGTTTCCCACAATACGGAATTATGGAAAGCATCTATAACTGACCATTTCCCAGTTATTTTGGCTATAAAATCCCTTCAATACAAAAAAGAAAAAATATATAAGTTCATTTTACAAAATCAATGAAAATTAACTTGAAAAATGAGACATGGGAATCTCTTTTGGACACAATCTAGTAAAGAAGGCAACATAAACCATCAGATTTTGAAACACAAAGAAAAGAAACCCTGGGAAACATCACAAGTATTTTGCTGTTCTTTCAGTATTATTCTTGTGGTAACACAAGGACTGATCAAATCAGAATTGATCAAATAAATTTTGACTCGCGATGAATTATTTCGTAGACACAAGAAATCTGAGAAATAAAGAATCAAAAAGAAATTACATACTCGTGCATTATAGCTGAATTTTATATTATAATTTTGCAGCACAAATTGAAAAAAAATTAAGGATCAAACTTCGTTCTCATAGAACAAAAGAGCGATCTTATGTCTTAAATGTTTGACCACAGTAAAATCAAAACCAGTAGTGTCACTCTAGTCGGAATCTTTGATGTTTGTGCCTCACAGTTTCATTTTTTTTTGACTATCTTGAGATACAACAACATCGAAACATACATACAATAAAGAAAAATACTCATTGCTTTTGCGCAAGTACCACTGCAAGTGTATTCTCCTTGAAGATTATTGCATAAACAGAAGCCAGTTTTGCTTGCAGGTGGTCACCCTGCCCCTATCGAATCAAAATTCTGCTACTTGGTTTCAACTGTGCCTGTTCTCTGAGGAACATTGCACAAGGACAACTATCTAAGCTTGGTACAAGTGTATGAATATAATAATATTTAAAAAAATATGGTTGAATAGGATGGCAATCGTTGAATATGATTTCGATTGTCGAGTTGGCGGGAATCCGGTCAAAATGTTGAAGAAAACCAATTGCTTTTTTTTTAATTGTCAACGTTTCGAAACACTGTTGTTTCTTCTTCAGGACTCTAAAGCATAAGAACAAGACATACATATGCTTTGTAATTTCAATAATTTCATTCAAGAGTAGTTAATGAAAAAAAAAATACTTTTTTCAAATGAAGAAATACATGTAAAGTGAGTTCGAATTATATCAAGGAGGTTACGTACAGCGCCATCTCCCCGCGAATAGATCAAGCAATAATGTCGATAATTCTGTCAAATACAGATCCCGAACATTCAAAATATGAAATGAGAAGGAAAGTTACAGACAAACAAACAAATATACATACATACAGGTGAAGCTAATAAAAGCGTGTTGAATAATGAAGTAATAATAATTCAATGACTATAATGAAATATTCTCCTGATAATCCGACTATTGTTGAAATTTTTTGTTTGGCTAACAACATCCAAAAATGTGCTACAAATAAGAACGAAACCATTTAATTGAATTATTCATCAAGCCCTGGATGAGAATATGTAATTTGTATCTGCTACAAATAGATAGATAGATAGATATATATTTATTTAACTGCATTAAATAATGTTTGTAGCAGATCATATAATTAACAATTTAATTCTAATACTGTGAACAGCTACACCTCTTGAATAAATTAAAAATATAAGTACAAAATATTACATTTTCAACTCATGCAATCCCTTATCTTTTGAAATTGATCACAAACGATCATACGAATACGAATACAATATGAAATAAATTAGAACATGGAATATTTCTGGCGAAGTGGTAATATTAGACACAACAAAACTTCTCTTTATCATGATTCCACAAGCGAAAATTCTTCAGTCTGATAGGTCATAAGCGGTAAATTTCGTGAAAAGTTTTAGACATGTTAGACATGTTACAGATTATCGAGACAATTCACGGCGCAACCAAAAATTGTCTTCTACGATTCGATCATGCGCTCTGTGATTTATTACCAAAAAGTGAAAATAGTAGGACTACTGGGTCTTTTATTTTATTTCATTTCAAATTCTATCACAGCATATCTACTGTGGTTTGACATTGTCATAAATGTCATATCGTAAACTCGACCTCGTAAACTGAGGTTATGTCTTATGTTTAAACAATGTCAAATTCTATATCGTTTACAAAAGTATTGATAGATTTGAACAGAAGAGAAATATAATTTGCAAAAAATGGATTGGGAATCAGATGATATAAAATTACTTTGTCGCCTTTGTTTATCAAAAGCCGTGGTTAGTCATTCTTTATTGAAAGAAGATAGAGCAAATATTTTGGAATGTCTAACATCAATAAAAGTATGTAATTTTATATTCATATAATTTAATCATTTCCCTGATACTTTCCACTGATATATTATAAATCAAATCATATATACCTGTCTAAGATTAAATTTCAGCCAGGAGTTTTGATCTTGAGATGTAAATACTTGTTATTTTTCTAATTTTTGTTCCACTCCTGGTTTTCAGATGTTGCTATAAAATGTATCCTTATAGATTCTATTGAATACGCTCCATCCCTAAGAAAGATGTATAAATCAGTTGAAAAAAATCAACATTTTGAATGATATTCCAAACATTTACCTTTCCCAACGTCCCTACACTGTGGGATTTGGGAAATGCCTGCCGAAAAAAAAACAACTTTCCTAGCTAACACCACGACGAGCCCTGAATTATTTCCAACAATCATTTGTGCAAGTTTCTTCACAGGAAATTCTTGCAGACGCTTTGCGCTCATTCTGTAGCAGGGCTCATTGAAATCAATCTAATAATCACCTACTGATGGGTTTCAGTGTGTAACTCTTTGTTAATTCACAATAGATTCAACCAAGGCAGCAGTATGTCTGAAAACTGACTGGTTTGATTGAAGCTCAACTGCATATATGAAAAGCTTGATCAGTGGCAGGATCTGTTTTAATTACAGTGAAGTAGTAACAGTTCGAACTGGTAAATAAATCAGCAATTGGGGAAGAAACATCCCATGTACCAATCCTCTAACAAAAATAAAAAAGTTAGATAACTGTTCTGAGGAAACAGATATGTATTAAGAAAATTATTATGTAGAATAAAATTTGATACATTGACCTGTCTGGATGAATGTTCTCTGAAAGAAAACTTGCCCAATAATTTGCAGACAATTATCTGATCCATTCATGTAGGAACATTGGATAGATATTTCATTTGAAATATTCATTAATACATGTATCTCTCCTCAACACAGTTATCAGAAGCCGTGATTTATCTGTAAATCATGTACAATATTTTTAATGAAGATCAACTAAAATTCTTGTAAGCTTTTTGACTACTTAACACTATATTTTATTGAAATGATTCAAAAATATCAGATTTTTGCATAATTGAAATCAATCATATAACCTGGTTCTGCAATGGTAGCTGTTGAAATTGGATTAAAAATAAATACTGATTTTATAAAAAAATTCATTCATTTCCAAATTCAAGTAAATTGATTACTTCTTACACTGAAATTGATATTTTGGCAGAACTTATTTGTTTCCCTCTGGCATAGAATGAAACTAATAAAAAAACAACTATTGTGAAACTCGAATAGCTTGCTAGAATTTGAATAATTATCAAAAATCGGATATAAAAATCACAAATAAAAGAGATTTAAGAGTGCTGCTCTGTAGTACTCAAGAAGACCTTGTCTTAAAAGTGGAACATAACTAGTTACCCTCATTACTATTTGTGTTTGACCGCATATGTAGCTACCCATCAACCTCAAAGCACTTTCTTGTCAGAATGTGATTTAAAGATTTCATATGGATACTCTCCTTTATATTTTTCATGAATAAAATGAATCTATAATTATCAGCATAGAAGAAAGGCTTGTTAGTTTAAGTAATATTGATTATATTTGTTGTGGATCTTCATATGACTATTGCATACATCATGGCGATCAGTTGAGGATGTTCACCCACAAAACAACAAAATTTCAAAAATATTCTCCATGCAGGGTCACTTTCTTCAATAATAAACTACCAATTTCCATTAAAAGATCAGGCTGTTATAGCTAGCAGAAGTACTTGAACCATAACAGTACAAGTTTCTTAATTATGACATTGATGTTATTTGTAATTGTCTCTGTGTTTTTAGACTTACCATATGTTCTTGGGTATTGTCAAATGAGTTATTATTATTTTCAAGGTAACTGAAGATGACTCTTTACCACAAATTGCTTGTACTAAATGTTGGCTCAATTTGAAGTATGCTTATCGTATTCAACAAAATTTCCTTGAAGCTGATGAAAAACTGAGACAAATTAATTTTGAAAAAGAAGTTACAGAAAACTTCAATATGACTGTGAAGAAAGAAGAATATTCTGATATCGAGCTAGTTGACAATGATCTAACAGAAGAAAACAATATCAATAATAGTTCTCTACAAACCGAATCCATTGAATTCGAAAATCGAACTGATGAACAAGTATTGGTGATATATAAAGTTGATAGAAATGTCTCGAATGAAGATAAAACAATTTTGGATGAAAAAATCGTTTGCAAAATCTGTGGTGATGAAGTTTTGGGTCGTAATGTACTGGACCATACCAGCAGTCATTATTTCTCAAGGATTGAATGTGACCAATGTAATATATGCCTAGAGAGCATTGATTCTTACCGAGAGCATTGTTCCAAACATCACTCAGATATTTCTGAAAAATCTTGGAAATGTGAGGTTTGCAACACATCATTCATCTACAAGCCTTTATACTTAATCCACCAAAGTAGGGCTCATAGAAAACGCACTATCTTAGTCATGAAGAAACCTTCTCAGGATACAGAAAAAATCTACGACTGTCCATACTGTCACCGAAAATTTTTGACGGAATCGAGGAGTTTAACTCACATCAAAAGCCACCAGAAAAAAAAGTGTGATATCTGCAATGTTTATATCACCCCTTCAAACTTCAGCAATCACTATAAGGCCCATTCTGAAGGTCCCGTGGTGTGCCATCTGTGTGGGATAACATACAAAAATTCAGTATCTTTGAGGAGTCACATACATTATACACACTCAAAAAGGACATTTATATGCCAGTTTTGTCAAAAGACTTATAAGAAATCCTACGATCTACTACTGCATATTAGGAGAGAACACCTAGGTAAGAAATACTTTTTTGTATATTTGATTCAAATTATGTATGTACCTGATTATATGGGACAGAAATTTGATTCTTCATCCACCCATAGGGAGTTTGGATACCCATGTCAGGTGTGGTCTTACTTGTAGAGGTAAGAGTCTTCCTAAGGTGTGTGTGTATATTAGAGTTGAAAAACGGATATTCAGTAACTATCTGGCGGCCTTTATATTATGCGCTTATTCTTCCGAATACCAATTTTAAAAAATATATTTTTAGGTAATTAATTGCCTAATTCAGTTAGTATCACTAAAATTTACAATCAGTTATCACAAAATGATTCTACTACTTAAAAAAAGAAATAATTTTCATACTGAATGACATTCTATTCAAAAATAAATTGAAAAACTTTCTTCTTGAAAAAGTATTTTATAATGTTGAAGACTTTTATAATTCGTGATATCTCATAATTGTAAGACTGACTATTGTATGTACAATTTTTCTGGTTTGTTTGCGATTAACAATTTATTTTTTCCGACTTATTTGTAGATTACCTTCTTTTCTTTCTTGACTAGTCTGATAAGTGTTATGTATGTGTATGTATAATGCCTTGTATAACCTTTAATTGATGAATAAATTCTATTATTATTACTGCACTGAGGGAAAATTATGGTGAATGAATACTAATTACTCCGCATTAAGAGGTAGCAAGAGAAGACGTAGCAAGCGGTTTCGCTTGTCTTCATAAATGAGGTTAACTTCAGAAAAATAGAAAAATGCTGTCGCTGTACACACTGCTGCTGACAGATAGATGTACTGCAATCAGTGCAATAAGTCAATGATTGAAATAATTGTTAACTTCGCTCATCAACGAAAAGATCCGAATGGGACCACCCTATCGTTCGCGCGCTGCCTACTCAAGCGTGCTTCTTGCGATGCACCGAATAGCAACATTTCGCCGGATATTCAGCGGCCAAATATCCGGCTGTAAGGTTGGCTCAATAAAAATAGTAATAATAAAACTAATAGCCTTCATTACCCAACAGTTGAAAAACCATTTACAGGGTTAACTAAGTATGTTTAAAAGTAATATAGGTGCTTATAACTAGAAAGTTACAATTTGATGAAATGAAGGAATAAATATAATGAAATAATGAAAAAAACTATGGCAGAAAATAAAAAATTCTCTGTAAAAAACTGAGATGCAGTTTCGACAATATTCTAGGGAATCAAAATTAATATCACATAAATTTGAAATTATTGCAAATATTAAAGATAGATGACTACAGGTACAAATTGGTTCTGGCCAGTGGGCTGTAAAAAATGTGTGTACTTCTTATTCTATAATGAGGCACAAGTTTTCTGCTTAACTCAATATTGAATGTTGAGGTAAGAGATTCATTAGAATACATCTATCAGAATAGATACATAAGATTTAAAGTAAATAAACTTTAGGAAATGACGTTGAAGTTTTTCAATTAATGTATTATAGCAATTATAGAATGGAGTCCATAGAACAGAACCATATTCTAATTTTGACCTTATGTAAGCCACATAAAGAGGAATTAGAACAGATGTTTGGAAGATCTACAATTGACAACTATTCGTGTCATAAACTCTCAATGCTTCACTTACTTTCGATCTAATGTGGTTGGATAAGTTGGAAAAAGACAAATTTTGACCAAAATACATACCAAGATCTTTAATTGAGTTACTACATGACAGTGAAATGATTTCTAATCGATAATTGTACTCGATGACCGACATTTTGCTACTATAAGATACTACTTCACATTTATATGCATTAAGACATAGTTTTACATCAAGTCTCTATGTTTTCTAACTGTCGTTGCAATTTATTACAATCTTCGATACTCTCGACAAGTAAATATATTTTTGAATCATCTGCAAAAAATAACTTGATACAATCGACATAATTACTGAGGTCATTAATAAATAATAAGAATACAAGTGGGCCGAGAATCGATCCCTGAGGTATTCCAGATGAAGGATTGTAATAGAAAGAATCACAGCCGTTATATGATACAAACTGTTCGCGTTGAAGTAGGATTTAATGAAAAGTACTGCTGAATTATGGAAACCAAATTGTTGGAGTGTTTGTAGAAGGATCATGTGATCAACTAATATAATTAATTTTCTGATCAATTCGGCCGTTACTTGATGAAGATCCATAGTAATTTCATAAACTACACCTTATGATTTGATCTTCACTAACTTTAATTTCAAAAATATATCACATATATCACGTTAACTACTACTGTTAACTATAACAGTAGATCCATTAATTATGTGATGTTTTTTAACAACATTCTCAAACCCTCTTTTGCTGGTGATATGAGGCGGGTTTTAGACAACTCCTCTCCCCACCAAAAATTACCTGTATTTCTAATCTTGTTATGAAAAATTGAGCAGCTTTGATGCAAATGTCCATAGACAATAAAATAATGAGGGTTGATTTTGACTGGTATAAAACAATAAAGGAGAGGTGTAATGTAATAAACATTATGGTGCATTATGGTCATTTTGTTTTCTGGAAACTACATTTCTACATAAAAATAAATCCTTTGTCAGTCACTTCCTATCATAACTAGCCACATGTAAAATATCAAACAGGAATAATAATGTCGAGTGACCTATATGAACGGTCTTTCAATTCTATATAAAACCCTGTAATATTTCTAACATTACAATGATAAGTAATGCCAGAAAATAATTTTCTTTGTATAAAATTTCGAATCAGAAAGTGAAATTAAACAGAAAAATTTACTTTATTGCATGAACTGAGTACCTGGTATAAAGAAGCTTCCTCACTTTCTTGAGAATATCAGGTGTTGATAACCACCACTTAATTTCTTCTTGTAAATGATCTACAGTAGTTGATTTTCAATCGTCCCAATAGAAAAATCCCGTGGAGTCAAATCGGGGGATCTGGGTGTCCATTCAGTCGAACCTCTTCTTCCAATCCATTGACCCAAGAAGCTATTATCGAGGAACTGTCGCACAGGTACTATGTAATGAGGGTCTCTTTTTGTTGAAAAACCCCCCCAATTTCGCAATGGATGATCTAATTGGATAGTGTTGTTAATGCTTGGCCTAACTTGATTTTTCAGTGAATGAAAATATCCTTCAACATTTGTTTTGTACGACTGGCTCCTAATGCTTGAGACAACAGAGTCAAAGACTGCATATTTAAACAAGAAACTTTCCACTTTCAGTTCTTATTTTTGTTATTTTAATCAATATCATACAGTATCAATATTGCTCAGATTGAACATTTCAAATACTGACGTTATGTGTTCAGGTTGACCTTCTAGTTTGGAACTAAATAATACTTCCTACTATTTTATTTTTTCTGATGTGTTTCCTTGAAAACTAAAAATTAACGTTTTTCACGAATTTTTTAGTCCCAATATCAAACTACTTATCCAGGGTGGCTCGTTTCAACTAGAATGCACTGTATAATTGTATAGGTACACTTAGAGAAAGGTGAAAATATAAAACCACAATATATAAGGAAAACCTTAAATACATTTGCAAGTACCGTCATTTGTATTGAGCATGAAGAAGAAAATTCTGAAATGTTGGCAGTGAATTGTTGAAAATATGCATTTTGTCTATGGGAGCCCAAGCGGGGATTTCGGGATTTACTAAAGAGCGGCAGAGGGATACCTTGTCCCGGTTGAGTACCTCCACCAAATATGAGCCCCATATATAAGGCCGCCTGTGAGGGATAAACGATCAGATTAGTAAAAAATAATTGATCATCAAAAATTCCTCGAGCGCGTCAGATCAAGGTAGGGTGAGTTAATTACCTTCTCAAAAGTGTATATTCCAGTAATCTGACAATTTGAGAGTGACGTAAAGAAAAGGGAGGGCAGCAAATTTGTAAAAAAATAACGTCATTTCGACATTCTCGAGGGTAGCTATTTTTTTTTATTTTGAAGGAAATAATTCAAGGATAACGAAAAATATATGATCTGACGATTTCCGCAAGCTGAAATTACAAAAATGAAGTGTTTTAAATTTTTCGGTTTTATTTGTTGAATAAAAAGTCTATCTTTTGTTGTAAAAGAAATGGTGAAACAATCACAACTTCGCAACACATTTGTTTAACTTTTCAAATTGTCTTTCATTTTTTTTGTTGCTCACATAATATAACGAATGAACGCCATTCCTGGATTCTTTTATATAAAAATTGTCAAATAGAAAATAAAGCTTCATCATTACTCAATAATAGTCCTGTTTTTGGAAAAACATTAAAGGGAATAGCGACATTTTTGTTCTGGTGTAGATATTAGTAATGAGTTATATATCTAGGTATTCCTAAATCAATTTTTTCCAAAACTTTTTTCATTCACATAACTTTCCCTTTGCAGGCGAGAAAAACCATGTGTGCGATGTTTGCGGGAAACGTTTCTACACTCTGTACACTTTGAACAAACACAAGAGGATGACCCATCAAAAACTTAGGCCATATCCGTGTCAGTACTGCAAAAAGAAGTTCTCATCAAAGCACGCTCGAGTGACCCATGAACGCCAGCATACCAACGTGACGCCGTACAAATGCGCAGAATGTGGTATGGGCTTCAGGCAGAACGTCTCTCTGAAGTCACACAGAATATCGGTTCATAACTATGTCGAAAAGTTGACGTGCAAGTGCGAAGTTTGCGGGAGAAAGTTTGGCAGCAATTTTGCTGTTCTTAGTCATATGAGGTTACATTGAAGTATTTTGTATGGTTCGAATTATATTTTATTATTAGTTAATTAAAGTTACATCTTGAACATTTCATTTCAATGCGGAAATTCGATAATGCTATTGAGTTCTTCAGTCAAACTAGGAATCGCTCTTTGGTCACAAGTTTCGTTTTCTGAGAATTTTCTCAGAAAAAAGCTCAGAACTTTTTACAAATACCTACAATAATTAACCATGATTTAATTTTTTGTCAGTTCAAAGTAACTTGAAACATATAATTTACACATGGGCTGAAAAGTCCCTGGCCTAAGAAAAAAACGCGTTTTTTTGCTAAAAATTACCTCTATTCATCAAGAGCCACAAAATTATTTCATTCAATACTACTTTTGTAGAACGATTTATCTTTTGCCTCGGTTTCAGCAATAACCTTTTCATTACTGGTGACCACTTTTTGGAGGTCTGCAAACAGCCCGTAGTCGCTGGGAGCCAAATCTGGCAAATAGAGTGGATTTGGGAGCAATTCAAAGTTCAATTCATGTAGTTTTGCTATTATTCTCATTGATTTGTGACCTGATGAAACAAAACAAAACGATTGCAAAATATGCAATTGTTCTTTGCAATTTTGCTCCAATAGCACTATAGAATATTCACTGTTGATGGTATTTCCCTTCTCAAGATAGTCGGTGAATATTACACCATGCACATCCCAAAATACCGATGCCATAACCTTTCCAGCCAATTGTTGTACTTTCGGACGCTTTGGACGAGGTTCACCAGTTGCTCCCCATTCAAATTCCGGTTTGTTGTTTAAACATGGCCAAACACTGCTCAGACTCATCAAGTCAAATGCTCATGCAAAATAAAGCCTACACGTTTTTTTTATATCTTTACTATGTCACCCAACTCACACAACTTCACTTTTTGCTCATTCAAAACGATTTTGTGGATTTTTTTATGTGAGAAGTAGCTAAATTTTACAATAATAATGATGGTTCATGAAAAAAAAAATTAAAAAAATCAAAATATTGTGATCTAAAATGAAAACCAATCAATAAATGGATTGAACAATGTGTGTAATGACAATTATATGAAAATAATAAAAGTAAATAGTCTAGTGAACTACTTATTTCTAGAAAAGTTTGTTGAGTAAAAGGATCAAATTATCTTGGAAACACTATTGGTTTTTATCAACGTTTCGAATGAAATGAAAACAGCATTAAAAATAACGTACAAAACAAAACAATTATAAAATCAAATGATGAAAAAAATAAGTGAAAATGTTGAGAAAACAAAATTGTATAATGAATATTTCAAAAACATTGGGCAGGACGTTTTAAAAAAAAATCCATACAGTAGATTTGCCAAACGGTTTTCTAAATAACACATTTATAAATTCTACTATGTACTTGGAACCTACAAATGAAAATAGTAATTATCTTGATTGCAAATCCCAAAAATAACTGCTTCCCAGGACCTGATGGAATAACTGCCAAAATGATAAAACATACACAGATCATAGGACCCTTGGAACATATTATAAATTTATCGTTTCAAACAGGAGCCATGCCTCGACAATGGAAAGAATCAGTCGTTACACCAGTCTATAAAACGGGTAAAAAAAAATCAATTAAACAACTACAGGCCGATCTCTGTCATTAAAAATTTTGCAACGATTTTCGAGCACTGCATTAAAAAAAAAATTATCATTCTTTGATAAACATTCCGTCATGACTCAACATCAGTATGGCTTTCTGAATAAATTATGCACTGAAAATGCTATAATGGACCATGTTGAGAAGGCTGTCGATGCATTGGACAAGTCGAGGAAATGTTTAACCATATTCCTTGATTTGGCCAAAGCATTTGACACCGTATCTCATAGTCTACTAATAGAAAAATTATATACATATGGAGTGCGAGATAAGGCACTAGATGTAAAATTAATGAACAGTTGAGTACCCCACAAGAAGTCACTATTGGCGTTCCTCAGGGAACTGTTCTCGGACCAGTTCTCTTTCTATTAATGAATCGAAGAGGTTTTGTATTAAGGTGTATAATATTTTAAAATTCTTGCAAAGCGCTTTCGACTTTCGTCATCATCAGTGCTCACCTGAAAGTAAGTGATCTGGTTGAAAAGGGAATTTAGTGATAATATGTTCTTCAACTTCTTTACACATGGAATTAAATTGTTCTGCCCATTTCTCAAATGCATCCAGCTGTAAAAAAAAATGTAAATGATACAAGCTTCAAAATGTTAATTTTTCTAAATACCTCAGCTTTTGTCATCATATCTTTTTTCTTTTTCTTTGGCTTTCCTTCATCAGCCTCCTCACATGCGTTAGACAATAACCTTTTCCTTCCCCGTTTTCTTTTGTACGTAATACTTGGCTGAAATATGAAAACTGATTATAAAAAAACCCACATAATCAATAAAATAAAACCGAAGAAGAAAAACAATTTAATCAAAAGTAAATCCTAAAGAATACTCAAGAAAGAACACAGTCAAGTATTCAAACTGCCTGTCAGTGGACTTGTCTGTATTTTTCTTTGGCAGTCACCTTCTTTCGAAAAATATGTTCCCTTTTGAAACAGATTATGGATGATTCTATTGTTTTTCCTCTCAAAGTTTTGGACTTTTAATCAACTGTTACTCATCTGAAGTAAATATAAACATCATAAGTTTCAACTCAAAATTGACTAATATAATGAAATATTTTTCATTTCCGTTGATCATAAGGCATTTGTAGAGCTTTTTAAAAAGAATCAACTCTAATGGATACATGGGAACAAGTCGATAACTCTTTCTGCATGAATACTTCCTATTACCCATTAGTTTCTTTCATTTTCATCTCAAGTTTTGTTTAAAATTGTGAAGAAGCTGATAATAATTAGGGGACAGAGCAGTACTTTCTATTTATTGTAAGTTCTCCAAGAATTCTTAGTGTTGTTCTATAAACCAGTTCATCACTAGAACACTGCAACTGTTATCTTACTATAACTCACATTTTCGAGGGTTGCCTTTTATGTTTCGGGATTTAACAACCCTAGTGTTGCAGTCTGGCAACTGACAGCTTTATCGTAAAGTAGGACAAGCAACAGTGCTTGGATGAACTTAATTCAATTATCGGCGATGAAGCTCCATCGAGGACCAGTGTTTATCGATAGTATGGTGAATTCAATCGTGGTCATAGTTCATTCTAAGACGAATTTCGTGAAGGTCGTCCAAAATCAGCTGTTGTCCCGAGAACCAATGATGCTGTGCGCGAACTGATATTGCAAGATCATCATGTGACCTATCGTGAGATTGAGACAACCTTAGGTATTAGTGGGATCAGCATACATTCAATATTGTATAAACATTTGACTGTCAAAAAAATTTGTTTGCATTAGATCCCACACAATTTGTCAATCGCTCAAAAAAGGCTCATGTCGATTGGTCGAAATGCTCAAAAAATACGATCGCGGTGCTTCGAAACACGTCTAAGACATCGTAACAGGTGATGAATCATGGATTTACGCCTATGAGCCCGAAAGTAAACAGCAGTCGACTGTATGGGTGTTTCAAGATGAGCCAAATCTAACAAAAGTTGTTCGCACACGAAGCACTTCCAAGCAAATGGTCGCCTGTTTTTTTGGAAAAACTGGACTTGTCGCAACCGTACCACTAGAACAACGCAGAACAGTCAATTCTGAGTGGTACACAACCATTTGTTTGCCAGTGGTCTTCCAAGAAATCAGGAAAACCAACCACCGAAGACGGATCACTCTTTACCACGACAAAGCGAGCTCTCACACATCAGCTCAAATAACTACATTTTTGAGCACCCAAAACATCGATTTGATGAGTCATCCGCCGTATACTCCTGACTTGGCACCGAAATAATTCTTTTTATTCCTGCACGTAAAAAACAAACTGAGATGTCAACGTTTTTCAACACCTAAAGAAGCGGTTGCTGCATTTAGAATGCATGCTTTGGAGATACCTCAATCAGAGTGGCAAAAGTGCTTTGACAATTGGTTTGAATGCATGCAAAGTGTATAGATCTTCATGGGGAATATTTTGAAAAATAATAAAGTGATTTTCGATAATTAATATTTGTTTTTGTTCTCTAATCCCGAAATATAAAAGGCAACCCTCGTAGTACGAAGAAGGAAAGTTCATTTTTCGGATTCATGGCTTTCAATTGTGAGATCATATCTCCCAATCATTCCATTAACAGACGGGTAGTAAGCTACAGTTCTCATATGCTGAATACCCAGCAATTTTGAGAACTCTGAGAAGTGAAGATTCAAACTGTCCACCTTGGTCTGTAGTTATTCTTGAAAGAAGTTAATAGAAAAAACCATTCAGCAGTTGATGCAGATCTCATAAGTGGCGCCTTCGTAAGGGGAGTTGTAATCGCCTATTCTGTGGCAAATACTTGAAAATTCCAAAATCAGTAGTCACACAATAAGTCATCCATAGAAAAACTGGCTGATTGAAAAGAGTTACCATATAAAATTTCACCTGAATTGAACAGTAGCATCCTCAATGGCGGGCTTCAGAAGTATTAACTCATCAGCACCTATCTCTCTCTCCTAAAAATATGCTCCTTTCAATTTAATAGAATAAGATATATTACTTTCTTGAATATTTCAATGGATGAGACAAGAATATCGCCTTATGCTCCAGTAGATATTAAATGTATTGAGAACTGCCAAACTGATAGGAACCATTCGATACCCGCCCCAGTTTAAAAGCTAATAGATCTTAACATCATGGTAAGAATTCTCTGTCCATATGAATCAAGAGAGTGAAAAAATGAACCCACAGACTCATCCTATTTCTCTTTACAAAAATAATTATTCAACATATAAGATTTGCTGAGGGTACCGCATTTTCAGACCTAATAATCACTAAACCAACAGTATCTGAAGTAGTTATTGGGTAATAATTCTGTTAAACCTTATAAATGGCCAGGATTTTTGAGTAGAGGAACTAGCCGGTGAATTATTTTTATATAACAAATAATAAGTGTATACACTCACCAATTTTATGGAAAGCTCCATGTCTTGTTTTGAATCAAAATCCTCAAATAGATGCACATCCTCAATTACTGTGTCATCTTGGTTTTTCATTATTAATTCATTGGTTTCTAAGAGATTTTCTTCAGTTAAAGGTAACTCAGGTACATTTTCCGCTTGTGCATTCTTTTTGTACTGTCTTATTTCATGGAAATTAATTCTAAATGGTTTACTAGTAGTGGGTTTCCTGTTTTCTTCATTCTCTTCATAACTCTGAAAAATATTGCTCATTTCTGAATTATTTGGAGAAGTGGTGTGGCTGTATAGGTCTTTTCTGGGTGTTGACTGCATTTGTTCTTTACTAATGCCATTCTGTTGTAAAAGACCCAGCACTTTTCGTTTTGGAACAACAAATTCATCATAGTCAAACAGGCTGGAATGTCTCATATCTTCATTTTGTTTTGAAAAATGGTCCACGGAACTTTCTACAAAATCTAGAATACTAGTTTGAACAGGGGTCTGTGGCCGTGGCACTTCTTCACATCTAGTCTTGGAATTTCGTTCTACTTCTTCTGTCATCGTATGATCCAAAACCATGTCTTGATTCAAAGAAGGCAGAGAGTTGGGCTTGATCAACAGAAAGTGGTGGTTACGCCTACCAGGAATTGTTAATCGCCATGGGCTTCTTGGAGTCAAACCAATCATTGTGCTGTTAGCTTTTGGTCTACGGTTAAAGAAAGCAGGAGATCCAATAGTGGTATGGGAGTGAAAGTCCACTTCATCATTATCCTTGTCAAAACCAAAATATTGACTGTCTGCATCGATTTCACTAGAACAGTTACTGTCCTCTTCATTAGTATGAGATGCGGACTCATGTGATCTCAAGCAAATATTACTAATGACATTGATATTGCTGTCTGTTTGACCGACCACCGATTTTTTCAATAAATCATTATTGTGAAAACCTAAAAATCCACTTTCACATTGGTAACCATTAATGCTTGGGATGAATACTACTTGTTCATTTGTAGCTTCATTTAAGTCTTTGCTGATCACTGGAATTTTCAGATTCTCATTTTGATTGACATCATTTACTGACTGACTTACTGAATTTGCAAATCCTAGAAAATCGGCTTTTATACTACTCTTAGATTTTTCCAATGAAACATCAGCCTCTGATACATTTGCTAAAATACTTGAATGTCTTTGTGATGAAACATCAGATTCTGATGCATTTTTGAAAATACTTGAATTTGGACAATCTTTGATAGTACTTTGATTATTTTTCATAGACTCAGACTCAGCAGTATCTTTCGACACATCAATTTTCTTAGCAACTTCTGTAACAGTTTTGTTTCTATCATTAACTTTGTTCATGACTCTTTTCAGTACTCCATTAACTTTGTCAGTATATTTCTCAATTTTTTTCTTACCTTTCTTCTCATTTTTATCTAATTTTTGTAACAAATCATACATGGTTTTGTTGAGTTTTCTTGAGTTATTGAGATTTCGGACTTTCTTAGGTTTTTTCTCATCAAAATCTGGTATGTCCAGTTCATAAGGATCCCTTTTCTTATTACAGTTGTCCTCAATAATGTTTTGTTTATAGATAGGGATTTTTTCATTAGAAACAACAGTGTTTCTTATTTCTATTTTTGAAGTCTCAACCGTTGAGCATTCTAGAGAAGATTCAAAATAATGTCTATCTTCACACTTCCGCAACCGTTTCACAAGGGGAGTACTTATTCGAGTTGCAGTAATACTTGACTTAGGAGATTCCCTTTTTTGTTCATTTTTATTGGCACCATGATTCTGAAGTGTCGGCTCTAACTTCTTCCTCTCCAATAGAACTTTGCAATTTTTCAATACTGGAACGTTTTCTTCAGACCCTTCTATGGAAATAACTTGATTTTCATTGTTTTTTGAGTATTTTCTGGACCTCCCAACGTTTCTTCTGAATCTTTTATTAATCTTGGAGCTTTGTGGAATTTGTACTGGACTGTTCCTAGATTTTGCTGTTTTCATTTTCAAATCGCATGTATTACACTTCCTATCTGTATTGGTGAGATCTCTCAATGGATTTTTATGGAGAACTACCTTCAACTCCCTTGAACTTTCTATAGCAGTACTTTGCCTGTTAAATGCATTCATGATTGAATAGACAACCGTCATAAGAAGACAAGAAGAGTCAAGTATCCTCGTTTAAAACTGTATGTCGCTCGTTGATCAAACATAAACACATTTTCCACCTTTAAAAATGAGGAACGACTTTAAATATTGGAAATAAACAAATACGTCAATCAAATTCCAAACTTATACTTCTTCTTTTCGAATCAATTCAATGGCCTCAGCAACAAAATTATACTTTAATTGACAAATGACAGCTGCGTTGAGCGGCATTGGCATAAAACAAATAGTTCGATGGAGTGGAAACATGAATTATGTTTTCTCTATATGGTGTTCTGTGAAGGGTTGTGTGATTCGGGATTAGTTGAAAGGTACATTGAAATTTGCATGTAATTACACAAAGTGTAATTACATGCAAATTACACTTTGTGTAATTACATGCAAAACGGAGTGAATTTTAACTCGAGTAGAGTTTATTCTGATTTGACGCATTCTATACGAGGAAGAAGGTCCCCTTCAGGGTGGCCAACTGATTTATTATTTTCGTACTAGAATTTATAGATAATTCAATTACTCTCAGTTCAATTATAATGAATGTATATCAGAGTTAAACTCTGAGAGTTTGTATTTCGGGGTGTTATGAAATAGGGTCGAGTTTAGACAAGACCTTTGGTAATGGAAAATCCGTGACACCTACAATGACGTATGGATTTCTTCGAGTGAGTTCTAATTTTTAAAAATATTCTGATGGGGTTCTTTGAAACCAATAGATGGATCCATTGGATTCATCAGTAGACTCATCAATGAAATTGAGAACTTGTCTTTTAGCTAACTGATTTTTTTCATTATTGAAAGTTTTTTGTCTTTTGCAATTTCAGTGTTAGTGAAGTATATTGACCAAACGCCCAGTTTTACTTTATCATTCACTTCTCATTTAAGAATGTTGTCACAAAGTAAGTAAATCAATTCGCATTGCGACATTCTTCTTGAAGTAAAAGTTTGGATTTCAAGTGAAAACAATTCATTGTGAGATTTTAACTGAACAGTTCAAAAAACCGCAACAGGTTCGCTATATGATAGTTTTCTTAGTATGATCATGCCTAAGGAAGATATTGTAAAGTGACACACATGTTGCGGTTTTATAAATTGTTCAGTGAAAATCTCATAGTGTTACGGATTTTCATGAAATATCGGTTAATTCCAGCACATAATAAAACTATACTCACAGAATACTGTAGTTGTGTATACGAACCAGTCATAAAAATCAAGGCAACGTTATTTAGAATGTTAAAATATGCTGTCCCGTTCTTCTGGTTAGAAGCGTAATGATTGACGTCTGGTTAGTAGTTAGACGTGGTTTCTGAATTAATTAGTACCTCAGATGTCACCGCAGTGTTTGAACCACCGACATAAGACATAACCTGGTTATGTCGAATGTCGATTACAGACCATATACCCTAGACGGTTCACGTAGGTTACTTCACCTTGAATCCCTTTTTTAGTACCGATACAAATCTTAAGATGGCACTGTAAATTTGTTCTTTGGTTTTATGTCACGGACCCACATATGTTCTTGTGGTTTGTGATGTATGTCAAAAATAAGAAGAAGAAGAACATGTGCCTAATATATAAAAAATGGTCATGTGACTCATGTGTTATTGGTCTGACGGTCTGTGGTGTTGTTGTCTGACTATGTACCCTAGTGATTATTTATTTCGTTATTTTGATTGTTATTTTACAATGGTTTACCACAACAAATGTTGCGTTCCTTATTGCAAAAGTATATCTATTATAAGACATGCGTTTCCTAATCCAGATAAAGATATAAATAGGTTCAAGAAATGGATACTGGTAATTAATAACTTGGAACTGATGAAAATGAACCCAAAAGAAGTTTACGGTTCTAGAAGGCTGTGTGATAGTCCTTTTGAGGCAAAATACATTTCTGCTTGGTCTCACAAGTTATTCGGGAACGCTGTTCCAACTCTAAATCTTCCTGGTGACTAAAAATTTTAATTCCTGATACTTAAATGAAATAAGACTTTTTTTATAGGTTCAACAGGCACAAATGATGTATATGATACTCCATCAACATCTAAGTCTTCAAATAGTTCTGCTCAAGAAAGTACTCAATTTAATGAGTTAGTCATTGAGATTCCAGAATTGAACGAATCTTCTCACAGTATTGAAGGTAATGAATATAAACATACAGACATATATCGAATTCTTTTGGTAGAACTCGTGCAGAGTCAGTGTATTACTCTCTTTTTTCAACACTCTACATTTTAAAGTATAGAGATACATGAGTTCTGTCAAAAATTTCATATTCATATTG